AATTTAGAAAGGGACAAATGAAATTAATTTCCAAGATCTGCTGCAGGAGGAAATTGTTTTCTAATGCTCCCCGCAGGAGGAGCAACCATCTGCAAGGGATTCAGTAACAATTAGACTGAGAAAGGAATTGCATAATTAAATAAGCAGTGCCGGAAACTAGAAGTTACTAGTTTGCTTCAGTAGTACCCTCTGGTTCAGTGATCCTCAGCTGGTTCTCAGTCTGATCTCAGGTAAGTCACCACAACAGCATTAAACACCACACAATTATATATGGTAAAGAAGAAATTGTTTGAGCTAAAGATGAGCTCTAGTTGTAAGAAGACAGAAGATGAATGCTCTGGTACCAGTAGGCATGGCTACACAGTAATATGCAAAACTTAGTCTGATGGATTTGTGTTGGCCATGCAGGTTTTTGAGTTAAGAAGGTGCAAAAAACAGGATTATTGCTGAATATTAAGGAGACAAAAATAATGACCTCAGAAGGTATGTGGAACTTTAAAATGGGTGGCAACATCAAAATTGTTCAACATTTCCTAAACTTTGGCTTGGTCTAAGATGTTGTACCATAAGCTTTCATAGACTTGGTCTACTTCCTCAGATGCATGGAGTGAAATGATGCTCATTCGGTACGTCTGAAGAAAGAGACCAAGGGCCTTTACAGACTGTCAGAAATAATGCAACTTGAGTCTACTTTAACTGCCCTGGCTCAGTGCTAGGAAATCATGGGAACTGTAGTTTTTTCTGAGACATTGAGCCTTTTCTGTCAGAGAGCTCTGGTGCCACAATAAAATACAGTTCCCATGATTCCCTAGCACTGAGCCAGGGCAGTTAAAGTGGACTCAAGTTGCATTATTTCTGGCAGTTTGTAAAGGCCCCAAATCTACAAAAGTGTATGCTACAACTTCTTCTACATAGTTAGTCTCCAAGATGCTACAAGATCCCCTTGTGTACTGATATTCCAGACTAATACGGCTCAGTCATGACTCAAAATAAAAACTGCATTCACAAAATCAGAAGACAACTAAGGTCTAATCTGCACTGAAAAAATAATGCAGTTTGACACTGCTTTAACTGCCATGGCTCAATGCTGCTGAATGCTGGGATTTGTAGTTTGTTGTGGCACTAAAGAAGGCTAAATATCTTTTAAAATATACAAATTCCAGAGCAGTGAGCCATGACAGTTAAAGCATAGTCAAACTGCACTAATACCTACCCTACATCCATATCCTGTGTATCTCCCCATTTCCTTTTCAACTCTTTTTTTTAACTTTCTCTATAATACTTAAAAAAAAACACCAATGTTTTAAAAAATTGGCTCAGGAGGTGCAAACTATATTTCTGTGAAAATGCTACCTGAACAATTTTTCCTCCTACCTCAATTAATTTGGGAGGCAGACTCAGCAGCTGCCTAACTCTGATCTAGCAAGAACCTAGTCACATCCAGCACCTGGAAAAAATTTTTTATTATTATTACATCTCCCAGAATCCCTTAGCCAGCATGGCCACTAGCCTTTCTGGCTGGAGGAATCTGGGGAGCAAAGCAGCTTATCCAAGTTCTGGCCACAGTAGCAAATTACTGTGTCTCTTTAATGAGGGCCTCACCAATTGGATTGTGTTGCATATAAATTCATGTTGACATGCAACTAGACTCTAGAGTGTCATAAGAATAACACTTTTCTAATCAGCACAATATTCAGAGAATGATGCTGCAACCTTGAGACTTGCATAGATGCAACTTACAGATTTTCCTGCATATTAACTAGAAGGATGTCTGCTTTTATAACAGGAAAGGGAAAAATTATTCATAAATGACCAGGCTTTAACATCTGTATTATACATTTGCAGTAAGCACAGTTCAGTAATCTTTGGCAACTGACAGACTGATTCATCATTAGTTCAGTTCAATTACATGCTGAATTAGCTACTTCCATTTTTAAAAAGCATTTTGCTGCACATTAGGTTTTGATAGGCAACTTGTCTTGAAGCTGTTTTTTCATGTACTTGGCTAGAAGCAAAAATTCCATTCCTTGACAGGTTCTAATTATTAGGATTCCATTCCTTAAAAGTTAGATTCTGATGGTTGGGACGTTATGACAGAATCCAGTATTGGTGGGAGAATGAATTCACTCCAGCTTTTAGACCTATTGAAGGTGATGAGCCTATTTTGGGGATAGGGTTCAACATCCTGAACAGTTCCTTAAAATTTGAACTCAAACCCAGGACAGATTGCCTCTCCAACTGACATCAAAGCTATCAGTCTTCATTACAGAAAACTGAGGATGAACATGGGATGTGCAATTTTTTAATGCTCTACAGTTTTAAAAAAATCAATTCAAAACCAAAACAACCCCCCCCCTCCAAAAAAAAAAAAATAGCCCATCAGGAAAACATGTTGTTTATCAGCTTTGACCTATGGCAACCCTATGAATGAGAGTCACCTTGTCCTCAACCGCCCTGCTTGGCTCTTGCAGATTCGTGGTCATGGCTTCTTTGACTGAATCTATTCATCTGGTATACAGCCTTTTTAGCGGTCCATGGTATTGCAGAACTCTTCTCCAGACCACATCTCAAAGACTTGATTTTCTTCAACTCTGTTTCAGCCTTTTCCACTGTTCAGCTTTCACAAACCATACATAGAAATGGGGGATACTATGGCATGGGTCATCCTAACATCAATATTCAGTGATATAATTTTACACTTTAGGATCTTGTCTAGTACCTTCATAGCTGCCCTTTCAAGTCCAAGTCTTCTTTTGATTTCTTGACTGCAGTCTCTGCTCTGGATGATTGAGCCCAAGTATGGAGAATCTTGAACTATTTCAATGTATCCATCATCTACTTTAAAATGATGTAGATCATCTGCGGTTTTTGTTTTCTTAATGTCCAGCTGTCAACCTACCTTTGCACTTTCTGCCTTGACTTTCTTCGATAATCTTTCCAAATCTTTGATATTTTCTGCTAGTAGTAAGGTGTCATCTGCATATATTACATCAGGGGTAGGCAACCTTTCCCTTTAAGGGCCGAGGGACTTCAGCTCCCAGAAGCCTCAGCCATGTTGGCCAATAGTCCCATGTTGGTCAATAGCACCTGGGATTCTGGGAGTTGAAGTCCCTTGGCCCTTAAAGGGGAAAGATTGCCTACCCCTGTATTAGATTGTTGTAGTTGTAGACAGGTTATAGTCAGCAGCTTTTCTTTGTGCTAGTTTTGGGAAGGAAATTGGTATATAGTTCCAGAGAGATCTGTAAGTGGAAGATCATTACAAATATGATCCCTTATGCACAGTCTGAAGTGATAGAATGCACCTATCCTTCCCATCTCTACCACTTTTTAAAATGATGAATAGGTAGACTACCCCAGAGCACCCGAATACCTTAAAGATCTGTGATTCCATCGATATGCATTCAAGTTCTTCCATTGATGCAGATCACAAATATTTCACATCAGCATCAACTTTGAATTTAGCGTTGTGTTCATAGACCCTGTGGCTTGTTTATCACCCTGGTGACCAATCTTTCTGCTGATTAGCTTCTTTGTGTTTAATTTGATTGTTGGACAACAGATGTGTAGTTTGTTATTGAGACCGTATTCAAATCCTTACTGCCTTGGTATAACTTGGGCACCAGGGATCATTATCCTCAGTGGATGTCCCTTGGCTCTAGAATTTGCTCCCTGGGGAGGATATAAAAGCTCTCTTCTTGCTCTCCTTCTGATGTCCTGCAATGACATTTGTATTATGAGAGACTTTTGAGAATTGAATGTTTTTAAAGAAAGGGCATCTAATAGGATGCTGTGCTGTTTTTAATATGTTCTACTTATTTGCAACTGTCTTTAATTGTTTTTAATGTTATTGATAGTTTAGTTCCATTTTAATATTGACCTGGTGTGTGTTTTAATTATATTATAATTGTTTTAATCTGCAAGCTGCTTTGAGTCCCAAGTTTTGAGAAAAGGTGGGCCATGTCCTCCAAATGTCACAATTTGTCAGGGATGGCCCTCATTAATCCTCCGTCTTCCTACTTTTTTAGCTGTTTAAAATGTCCCAATTTTTGTCTCAGCCCCCCCCCCACTATCCCACTTTGGGGCTATGCAGACAGGCGGCTCTGGGCTGCCTCTGATAGCCACAGATCGGGGCTGCAGCAACTGCATGCTGCAGCCCCAATCCTCCCTTTTGCCTCCCCTAAAAGAGTGGCAAAATGCTGCACCTTTTAGGGGCGGCAAAAGACCGCCCTAAGAGCCAGTGCCGCTTCTCTGCCATGCCCTTTCCGTGCAACATGTCTACACGCTGCGCCGGGAGGGCATCCTGATGCCACGTGCCATGTGTATGGGAGCATGGCATCAGGACGACATCAGGCTGGGGTTGGAGTGACCGGCGTGTGGCTGCACCACCCCAACTCCACCCCTAGGCTGGCCCTTTAGGCCGGTCTGCAATGCCCCTTTGTCACTAGCTTACATCAAGTGCTGCAAACTGAGTTCAAAGTACAAAAATAGTTTACACTAGTTAACTCAGCAGGGGCAGTCCCAGTAGGCTCAGGCAAAAGTAAACTGCTGCTACTTCTCCTGGCTTATCTGTTTTCCCTCATTAATAACTTTTGCTGTCTCGACCACATTCTAATGTTGTTTTGCCACACATTTGTGTGGCACTCTTTTCATTTGTGAAATGTTGGAGGGTATGGCGGGATGTAAATTAAGACTACTACTGCTACTGCTGCTGCTACTACTATTACCACCATCACCACCACCTCCACCTCCAAGGGTGCAGGTTGGGACTGAATGGAGGAATCACAAGTGCCACTGCAAAATAATAATAATAATAATAATAATAATAATAATAATAATAATAATAATAAATTCAGTGGGATATCTGTGTTTGTTGAAACAATGCCAACAATGGCTAAAGTCTGACATGTACACTAAAGCAGTTGTTGTTGTTGTTGTTTTGCGTAATACTGCATTGTGACAGAAAGTCATTTGGCACCTTTAAGAGCAAACATATTTATAGAGGCATATTGTGGTGTAATGGTTTGAGTGTTTGACTATGACCCTGAAAACCTGGGTTCAAATCCCAGGTTGGCCATGGAAACCCACTGGGTGATCTTGGGCAAGTCACACCCTCTCAAGCTCAGAAGATGGCAAGGGCAAAACCGCTCTGAAAAAGCTTGTCAAGAAAATCCAATGGTAGGATCATCATAAGTCGGAAACTACTTGAAGGCACACAACAACAACAACAACAACAACAAGCTTTTGGGGGCTAGTCCTCATTTTGCAGGCAAATGAAAAGGTTTAGAAAGTTGGCAGGGGAAATAACTAGTTAAACATAATTAGGCCATGCCTCATATTAAGTAAAGTAATGTTTGTTTGTTTTTTTAAAAAAAACTGTTTTAGATACAGCATAAATAATTTGTTGTGTTGACATTGGAAGATCACATTAATCAGTGATGTAATCTTTCTCAGTCTCATCCCCCCCCCCCCAAAAAAAATCTGAGTATGAATAAGAAACATTTGACATGTCAGTTGGATTTTAAGGAACCATACCAAACTCCTTACAAAGGCAGGACATGGCAGGAGAAAAGGTTTTCATGTCACATTCATACTTACCTACACGCACACACACACTCACTTCGCCTTTCATTTCAGAATAGTTATCACCTCCCTGGGGAACACAGCACTCAAATGAGATGCAACTAAAATAGAAGAAAATGTTAGTTTCCGTTTGCATTTGGACCTGTTCCAAAGCATACACAAAGAAATATAAAACACAAGCTTTCCTGGATTTTAGAGAATTGATTAAGAACAATCAGTGATATGTATTTAAAGGAGGATTTTATATGAATGAATAGCTCCAAATGTTCAGTAAAAATAGCCGTCTTCTTCTTTATACCACTCAGAAGATAGGTGAAAGACAGTTTTATGGTATGAAAGTCCCCCAGTACTTTTGCAAGAATTCAAACATGGGGAAAATTAGAGCCTCTCTTATGATATATTAGCTTTTTACATGCTTGGAAGTTTCAGTAAGAAAGAAGTATTCAAACATAGAATCATAGAATCATAGAATTATAGAGTTGGAAGAGACCACAAGGGCCATCCAGTCCAACCCCTGCCATGCAGGAACTCCCAATCAAAGCATCCCTGACAGATGACCATCCAGCCTCTGCTTAAAGACCTGCAAGGAAGGAGACTCCACCAACCTCCGAGGGAGTGTGTTCCACTGTCGAACCGCCCTTACTGTCAGGAACATACAGTCCTGCAATCAGATTCTAAAGTGGTACAGCTGTAATTTGCCTTCATTGCTAAGAATGGCAGTAGCATCTAGTTTCAGCTAAAAAAGCAACTACTGGGAAAGGTTGATGAACACTGCAGAAATCCAGCACTCCATGACTTTTGCATGAGGGCAGACCTCTTAAATGACAGTGTCTATCTTGCCATACATCATCCATACAAAGGAGCTCTATTCCAAATAAGATATCATGAAAAGAGATTCATTCATAAGTATGAATCTCTTTTTTGTTATATATGCAGTGATTTTGCAACTGTTTCTTATTTAGGGCCTTTACAGAGTGCCAGAAATAATGCAGCTTGAATCCACTTTAACTGCCCTGGCTTGGTGCTAGGGAATCATGGGCACTGTAGTTTTTTTCTGAAACATGGAGCCTTCTCTGTCAGAGAGCTCTGGTGCCACAATAAACTACAGTTCCCATGATTCCCTAGCACTGAGACAGGGCAGTTAAAGTGGACTCAAGCTGCATTATTTCTGGCACTCTGTAAAGTCATTCTAAGTTTTAGAAGGCAGGTTAGTCTTCCAGTTAGCAACAATTTTCATTGAGATATAACAATCTGTGCAGAATCCTCTCTTGCAATTTGCGCAAAAATTGCTCTTGCAAAAGCTCTGATTCAGAGCACCTGAAAATATCTCACCTTCATTCAGATGAGAACATTTGTAGTTCTCATTCTCCCATAAATTGTTTCAAGGACATTTAAGAGATGGCACCCTATAAATTTAAAGAAATAATAAATAATGGGCCTAATCTACCAACAGGTACCAGACTCATCTGGACACACTTTTTGCATCCAAGCAGCAAGGGTAGGAGCACATGATGGGGAAAATGATGCTGGGGTTTTTCATTACAGGGGTTTCTTCATTACAGGAGTCCCCTAGATCTGGTTTCTGTTGCTTTTGCTCCCTCCAGCAGTTGAGTTGGTAGAGCAGTGGTTTATTATTGGCCAACACTGGAGTCACCCAGTATTGGTATCTGGGTCTATACCAAGCTAACCTTCTTTCAGCTGAAATTAATAAATGTTGTGGCCTGCTCTGTCCCAAATGATCATCTGGAGTGTTGGGCATGCTGTCCACTTTACTGCAGAAGGCAAAATATTGCCCAAAGGGAGACACTACAGAAAACTGGTAACATCAAAGTGTGTGTTCTAAACTTGCTTCTAAAGGTGTGTTGCTATTCTCTGGTGTGTTAGGAGGTTGTCTCCCACCAGAGGACGTTTTCACACGGGGCTTTAAACGGAGTCATTCCTACCTCCGTCCGGCCCCACTCCGGCTCTGTGCAGGATAAGTTCACACGACGTCGCAGCAAGCCCCGCCCCATCCTGCGCCATCCCTGCGCCATCCCTGCCTCACTCCGGGGTCTTGCTGCGCGTGTTCACACGACGTCGCAGCAAGCCCCGCCCCATCTTGCGCAATCCCTGCGCCATCCCTGCCGCTAGCCGGCTTTAGCCCCGTTTTTGTAATTCCTTTTTTAAAAAGGAATTACAGGGGCTGCTGCCGGAGGCAATCAGGAGCCATTCTGGCGGCTGCTGTTTTCGCCGCCGGAATGGCTCTTGATTGCTTCCAGGGGGCTTCCAGGCGGCTTTAGAGCCGCCTGTGTGAAAATGTCCAGAGACAGGAAACTGAGTCCAATTCTCTTTCCAGATATTGCATAGTGGGTGCCACCCCCCATCACTTGCATGTGCAGCAGTGTGCATGCATCGAGTCCCTCAAGCCAGGGGAAGGTTCCCACTCCCACTTCCCAGGGGAGGCAGTGGCATTGACAGCACCTCTGCACCTCCCTATCATTAGCTCAAGAGGAGAAAAGGGAGCAGAAGTAGGTGGTAGCAGTGGAGATAGTGACAGTGACCATGACAATCCATCATCAGTCTCTTTATTTATATACTGCCTTTTCCTCAAAACATGGGACTCAAGGCAGTTTTCAGATTAAAATGAGATGTACGTTGTCAGCTACTCTGCATTTGTTTTGAGGTCCTTCTTGTCATTGCCTGGTCATCTGAGCTCCCAACTCATGAACAACAATGTAGCCCAAACAGACAGAGTTAGCATCAACACTTTACTTTAGTACTCTTAATGCTTGGAATTTGAGAATTTTTATATGAGACAATGAGCCAGTTCCATACTGATCTTTTGACTATTTATTAATATAAAAAATAAACACACACACATATACTACCCTTAGGAAGAAACATAGTGTTACCCCAAACTCAGTGTCCCAGGAGGGCATCCATTAATTGAATTCAATTGGAAAATTAATTTAGCTCAATAGGAAGCAGTGAGAGGGCCAGGGCAACTCTAGCTAGAATTTTCAGCTTGTGTCTATCAGTTCTGAACCCAAAGAGCTCCAGGGGCAGGTGCCAAAATAATTTAGCTTATTAATAAAAAGGGAAAATCAGCACACACACACACCAGAACTAAGATCCATTTAAAAAAAGTTGTAGGAGATAGCAAATTAAAGGATTGCAATGGGCAATGCTTACCAGTTCCAGAAGCCAGGCTCCAGTCTGGGGGAAATCTGGGAGTTGAATGGGATTCAGTTTGCTGCTGTGTGACAGACAGCAGTACTGAGAGGCCAACCTTGAATCTGACAGAGTTTCTGCTTAATTCCAAACTCAACCAAAATAGGAGGGCCCAGTCAGGGGTGTTTATGGGCCAAACCTGACTTGAGGCAGTTTGAGTTGATTTTCCAGGAATCCCAGAAACAATGGAATTCCCAGTTGGTCAATGGTTTTAACTTCAGAGTTACAAAAGGAATATTTTTGGTTGATGGCAGTGACATTTATTTAATCAACCAGTGCTATGATTAGGACAACCCCAGGGAGTTTGGGATACCATGTGGTGTTGGAAAATACAATGGGGGCTAGCAGAGAGATTGGCTTTAACCTGACAGATTTCTTTGTCCTTGACTTTCAAGAGGAAATGCACATAGCAGGGGGTTAGGAAGCAGCAATATTCACAGCCATTAAATTATGTGGGTACCTTATACATGCCCCCAGGTCTGTTTGACCACTCATGAGAAGTTCACTTAAAGGTCATAATGACCTTTTCAGGTTCATGCTTTTTGGCCTCTCTGTAACTGCTAGTATAACAAAATATTTGCACTCCAAAATAACATGGGGTATGCAGGGTATGCTAACAGTAGACTTTTCATAATCTAGGCACATAATTTATTAATTGACTTTACATTATATGTAATGCCCCAAACATCTTACAACTTGCTAGAATCTTCCAGATTCATCTTAGCACACATTCACTAAGAGACTGGCAAAGTTATCTGGTTTCAGCCTCTTCTTGGCTTCTTTTATTTTCTCCCTAGTCCCCATCCAGCTATCAGCTGTCCTATCAAAACAAACGTGATGACAGTGTCTTATTTATGTTATCTAATTAAAAAAAAGATCTTAGATATGATGTCTCTGAGTCTAGTTGGAGTCTCTGGTTGCCTACCATCCTGATTGCATCAGCCAGTGTACTTGCTGGGGGATTTATTAGCAGTTAAACCTGATCATATCTTGGTGTGGATAGGTATTATTTCTTTCTTCATATTTCACATAATGAATTATCAGTGTTCTTTCTGGGGGACTTTAGGCCCAATGACAACTCTCCCAGCAACTGAGTAAACAATTTCTAATCCTTTCAGTTTAACCTACAACTGGTTCTTGTTAGCCCAGGTTATTTGCAGCAGTACCAGATTCACTTGAAAATTCTGCTTATGCCTGCTCCTTACCTTGGTCAGTCAATTGTGGGCAGGAGCTACCATGAATAGAATTAAGTTTTTGAATGCAGTGGTGAATGTTGTTTTTCAG